CGTTATTTGAGTCCAAGACAAGAGATAAAAGGGATACTCTAATCCACTTATTATAATCAACCTCCAATCAATATTTGATTCAGGAACTGCTTTCCTCACTGCTGTAGACACAATGGCCTTCATGAATTCTTTTACCAAGTTACCTGCTAATCTCTTTATCAATAGCGTCTTAAAGAAGGTACTTGGAAAATTAATTTTCTTCTTTTTCCTTTAAGGTTTCATTTTTCTTTTCTGTTTTCTTTTTTGTTTTATTCTTTTTTTCTCTTTTTGAGGATGAGGGGTATAGCTGGTGGTGCTCAGGGGACCATATGTGGTGAGAATCATAGCTGGTTAGCTTCATGCAAGACAAACACCCTACCTACTGTACTATCACTCTGGCCCTGGGTGTAAGTAATTTTTGAGAACAGCTAAAATCTTCATTTCATTCTACCAAAGGTTACCTGCTTACCTCCTTGTCAAAGGTGGTCATGAAATAGGTATCTGTAAACTTAAGTGTAAGGAATTTTCAAGAATATCTGGAATCTTCATTTTTCTTCCACCATAGATAATGTGCTTACCACCTCTCAAAGGTGATCATGAAGCAGATATTATAATGCAAAGTATAAGGAACTTTACAGCACTGTCCTGTATCACTGCCCTCCTGTTATTCATTGATTTGCTCGTGTGGGCACCAGTAACATCTCCATTGTGAAACTTGTTACTGTTTTTGGCATATCAAATACACCACGGGGAGCTTGCCAGGCTCTGCCGTGCAGGCAGGATACTCTTGGTAGCTATCTGGGCTCTCCGAGAGGGACGGAGGAATCGAACATGGGTCGGCCGCATGGAAGGCAAACGCCCTACCCGCTGTGCTATCTCTCCAGTCCAAGGAACTTTACAGAGTTTCTAAAATCTCAATTTTCTTCTGCTTCTACTGTGATTTGCAGGGGGCTTTACATGGCTTAAAGAAACCTGATAACTTGAATTCTTTAGATAAAAAACAGTCAACAGACTGCATCAAATTTCCACTGGTTTGAAACTTGGGAGTCAATGTCAAATGTGACACACAGGACAAAGCTTGTGAGCCCCAAAGCGTTCCTTTGTCACGATTCCATTAACTTTTGTTTTTGTTATTGGGGCCACACCTGGCAATGCTCTAAGGTTACTCTTGGCTCTGTGCTCAGGGATCACTCCTGGTGTGGATCAGGGAACTATTGGGATGCCGGGGATCAATCTGGGGTTGTCTGCGTGCAAGGCAGTCACCTTACCTGCTGTACTATCACTCCATCCCCGGTATTAGAATCTTCTTATGCTACCCAGCTGTTCTAGTAGCAAGTCCAAACCTAACACACACACACACACACACACACACGTAGTCCTCTGCCACTTTTTGTCAAGTCACAAACCTTCTACATAAAAATATACTGGACTATTAATAATTGAAGTCACAAGAAGAAATCAGCTCAGACCATGAAGTAACTTGTTTTCTGATTAGCTATGTTGAGGAAGCACAAGATTTGGGGAGATGTGGTCTAAGAGCTACTGCCAGTTCTATTTAGAGTTAATAAAGCTTACCAGGACCCCGGGTCTCATGCAGCATGCAGCAAACAGCAGAGTTAACTGTAAAACATTAAGAGCTGATGAAGATGGGAGCAAGCTTGAGGATAAATCCATTATTATGAATTGTCACCAACAATGAAAAGTTAGAGGTTAAATAAAGGAGATTAGGAGGATTTGGGGAGGGCTGTGGAAGGTGGGTAGGCTGGTAGGTTCCCCTAAGACAGTGGGACCTTTTCATAACCTCATGAAGGGCAAAGAAACTTGTGAATATGTGATGCTACCAGAGCTGAGTGTTACCACGGTCCACACAACACCACTGGGCCAAAGAGATGATAGATAGGCTAAGGCACTTGCCTTGCCTATTGACAAACACTGTTTGGATTCCCAAATCCTGCCAGGTGTGAACCAGGAACACAGAGCTTGGAGTAAGCCCTGAGCATCATTAGTTGTGCCCACACCCGCGAAAGACACCACAAAACCCATCACCATTGTGAGTACAGGAGAGTTCAGCATTCATGGTGGGCATTCCAGATGCTAGCCCAGTGGTAATAGAATTACATAGGTGCCCAGGACTGGGCTCACATCTGGAACTATAGTTCATCTAAGGTCACCATGAAACAAGGAGGGCTGAGGAGGAACTTCCACTGGACATCAGAACAAGGAACAAGGGTCATTTTGTATGGGCAGGATTCAAACTAATGGGTCTCTTTCATTCCCAATACAGTGCATGCTCGAGTGAAAAGACAAATTTAGATTTTTTTGTTTTGTGGACTAGATAGGGTGGTAGTCAAGAGTTACCCCAAGCTTGGTTTTTGAGGGGAGGGCGGGTTACTCTTGGCCGTGCCTGGGGTGACCATGAGGTGATGGAGATGGAATCTGGGCCTCCTGCATGCCAAGCATGTGCCCCCTTTGGACTATCTCTCCAGCTCCAAATGTAAATGTATCTGATCTAGAAAACAGGAATCTATTTTTGCTGCTACCCACCCTGCACCCCAGACACTGTGACAAATTACTAAGAGCACTGTGTCTGCAAGGCTTTTGTGTCCCTTGGATAGCTGAACCTAAATCCATCAGGTAGGACCCCCAAAGCTACTCAGGTGCAAATGCAGCCAATAGAATCCTGATTCGAAGCAAAACTCTGGACTCACAGGTGAAAATGTTCTAATGACGCTTTGGAATAAAAGCCTAATTGGATAGCAAAACTGAAGTGTCTACAAATGTAAGATAGATAACGACAGCATGGAGTCATGGCTGTATTTCTTTTTTGGGGGGTGTCGTGTGGCCACATCTGGTGGTGCTCAGGAGTTACAACTGGCTCTGTGCTCAGGAATCACTTCTAGTGGAGCTCAGGGGACCCTATGGAGTGTTGGACATCAAACTGGGGGTGGCCACCTGCAAGGCAAGTGTCTTCCCCACTGTCTTATCACTTCGGCCCATCACTGTTATCGCCATATATTTATACACATATACATATATGTATACATACATATATATACACACATATAAAATTGTTAGGACACACCTGGTAGGGCTTAGGAATCACTTTCAAAGGAGTTTGGGGGACTATGTTGGATGCTGGTGTATCAGATATTGAACCCAGGTCGACTGCAAGCAGGGCAAACACCTAACCGCTGTGCTATGGCTCTGGCCCCGTGGTATTTCTTAAGTGATAATTTAGGCTTAAAGGAAGGAAGATGTTTTCTCCATCTTGAAAATGTTCACTAGCTAAATCTGGAAGAAAGCGGCTCAGAACAGGAGGCAAGGGCTGGAACGATAATATAGTGTGTAGAGCAGCTTGCAGGCAGCTGACCTGGATTCAATCTCTGATACCCATATGGTCCCCTGAACACTGCCAGGAGTGATCTCTGAGTGCAGAGCTAGGAGTAAGTCCTGAGCACCACCAGGTGTGACATGCCCCCACCCCCAAAATATAAAGAACTGGAAGCAATAGCCATAGCTGGCCAGATGCTCCGGTCCCTTTAAGGGCACAGGGGCCATCAAGCCATCTGGGGTTTCTCTGGGCTCTTTGCACAAAGCAGTACATAAGAGCCCATGCGGCAATTTTCTTGGTGATTTGCTCAGAGTGGTTAGGTCCCATCAGAAGGGCTGTGGCTCAGGGACAAGGAGGGAGTCACTCGAGTGAGCAAAGCCCGAACCAGAGCCGAGAGGAGGAAGTGGAGTGCAGGGTGGTCCAGCCTGGAGAGCTGAACCAGCACCAGTAGAGAAGTGTTCCTGGAAGCCACATCAGCACCCACCTCTGGGGGAGATCCAGGGTGCCCAGAGGCTCCTATACAAAGCTAGGGAGAGAGTGTGGGGGGTTAGGGTGCATGTCTTGATCCTCAGCTAGGTGTGGTCCCCCAGGTTGGCGCCTTGGTGACCCAGAACTGCAGAGCCTGTGCAACAATGAGGACTAGGACCCTTGTATTGAGCTACTGGCCTAATTGGCTGAGAATCGCCTCCGTAGATCCCCTGGAGAGCATTGAACATTGCTTGGAAGGCCCCCACCCCCGCCTGCAAAGTGTTCTCTTTCTCCCATTCCTATCATCTGATTTTTCAGTTGGCTCTTTCTTGGGTCACCTCTCTCTTACTTTCTCCTCACATTCCTTCTGTTCTCCTCTTATTCTTTTATTTTGGTGTGTGTGTGGCGGGGGAGTGTGCTTAACTGGTGGTGTTTAAGGCTAACTCTTGGCTCTGCGCTCAGGGTTCACTCCCAGCAGGCTCAGGGAATCATATGTGGTGCCAGAGACTGAACCTTGGTCAGCATGTGCAAGGCAAGTCCTGTACCCTCTGTACTACCTCTCTGGCCCTTTTCTTCATCTTTCTTTTTCTCTGGTCTTGAGTTTTTTCAGGATTGTTTGCAGTAGGTCCAACAGAGGGGTTTGGGTCTTTAGAACCACACCCCAATTCATATCAGCTCCCTCAACTCAGGGAGTCTGAAAGTTTTGTTGTGGCCAGGGAGCTGGCTGAAAGGGTTGGAGCACAGGTTTTTGCATGTGGGAGGCTCAGGTGTGATCACCAGTACCCTACGGTCTCCCGAGCACTGCTAGAAGTGATCCCCAGCACTGAATCACTGCCCAGAACATTACTGGGTGTGACCCATTGGCCCATCAAAAACAAAAAACAAAACTCAACAAAAAATTTTAAAAAGCAAAGTCCTGGGACCGGAGACGTAGTATAGTGGAAAAGATGCTTATCTTGCAGCATAGGTTTGATCCCTGGGACTGACTGCATTGGGTCTCCTGAGCCCTGTTAGCAATGATCCCTGAGCATAGAGCCAAAAGTATACCCTGAGCATCTCTGGGCGTAACCCCAAAAGAAAAAGTTCTACTCGGCCACAGAGAACAGGTATAGATTCTCCCATACATCCTACATCTGGACACCAACTCTTGGCCCCTTCAACCCTCCAAGTCTATCCATAGGGGACGAGGAGACAGTTACCTTCCTGGCCCCCTTCCACTTACTTTTTCTTCTCTTTGTCCCTTTTCAGAGTCTGGGAGCCTCCAGCCTGAGAGCCCTGGGACTGGAGCAACTCAGCCGCTGTCTTTCTCTGCTTAAAAGCATTCACTTCATCATCCAGCGATTTCTTCTTATCCTCCAACTTCTTCTTCTCATCCTGGTGGAGTTTCTTTAGACGGTCAAACTTCTCATGCAACTGTCAAAGAAGCAAAGGGAACTGAGGAGGAGTTGAGGCCAGGAAGGGGAGGTTTAGCCTGGGGGAACTTAGAAGTCATTGTTCCCTACCCAAGGCTGTTCAGATGGGGCCAGTGAGCACTGCATTCTGGATAGTTCCCTTCTCTTGTTATGCTTTTAGCAAGTGTCTGCTCCTAAAGCTGATTGGGGAACTTTGTGTGCCAGAACGTTGAACTACCTCTCTCCCCAGAACACTTTCTCTGTGACCTCTGAGCTGCACAGAGAGTTCAGGGCTTTCATGTATGGGCATCATGCTTTGTATATTGGAGGCCTGAGTTCGAACTCTGGGAATGCACAATTCCCTGAGCACTGCCAGGAGTGATCCTCAAGAAGCAAGGTGTGAGTAGGCCTGAGCACAAATGGGTGTGGCCTAAAGTAAAGAAATAAGTAAGTAAAAAGTGGGCCAAGGGATAGTAATGCTTTAAGCATGTGTCTAGCATGCAGTGAACCCAGGTTCAATTCCTGGCACCACAGGGTCCCCCAACCACGACAAGCATCACCAGGCATGGAATAAAATTTGGAGTGGGAGAAAGAGGACCAGGGGTAAGACACTTTCTGGCACATAGCCAACCCTGGTTCTATCCCCAGCACCCCTAGGAGTGATCTCTGAGAAGAGAGCCTAGAGCAAGTTCTGAGCACAGATAGTTGTGGTCTCAAGACAAAATAAAAAAATTAAAGCGGGCTTGGAAGAACAATACAGCAGGCAAGGGGCTATGTTGCACACGGCTATTCTGAGTTCAATCTTTAGCATCCCATATGATCCTCCAAGACCCACCAGGAGTGATTCTGAGTACAGAGCCAGGAGTAAGCCCTGAATACTGCTGAGTGAGGGCTACGGAACAAAAAGTAAATGTTGGTTCTTTGTTGATGTTATTGTTTTGGCCCATATGCAATGGTGTTCAGTCTTACTCCTGGTTCTAGGCTCAGGAATCAATCTTGGGGTGCCAAGGATAGAACCCAGAAAAGACACATGCAAGGCAAGCACCCTACATGCTGTATAATTGCTCCAGCCCCCTCAAAAAAAATGAAAGTTGGGCCAGGAGTTGCCAGAGAGATTGTATGGTGGGGAAAGTACTTGCCGTGAGCGTGGCCCATCCAGGTTAGATCCCTGGCTCCTCATATGATCCCTCCAAGTCCCACCAGTTGTAATTCCTGAGTGCAGAACCAGGAGTAACCCCTGAGCATCGGGGGGGGGGCATGTCCCCCCACAAAAAACACAAAGTTTGGACCAGGAGATAGTACAGTGGTTAGAGCACAGGCCTAGCATGTATCCAACCCAGATTTGATATCCAGCACCACATGTTCTCCTGAGTACCACTGCACATGGCCCTGGAGGTTTCCAACACCTCCAGGGTGGCCTAGGTAGCCATAGCACTGCTTAGCCTGAGAATCAGCAACACATTCTCAAACCCTTTGCGCTGAACTGCGAGCTGAGTTAGCCGAGAACCACCAGTGGACCTCCTGGGCCTTCTGATCACTACTGAGAGTCCCCTCACCCCAAAGATGCCACACACGGCTAATCCAAATTTTCATCAGAATAGCAGCATACCATGGGCTGGAGCAATAGCACAGAGGGCAAGGCATTTGCCTTGCACGCGACCGACCCGGGTTCGATTCCTCCGCCCCTCTCGGAGAGCCCAGGAAGCTACCGAGAATATCTCGCCCACACGGAAAAGCCTGGCAAGCTACCTGTGACGTGTTTGATATGCCAAAAGCAGTAACAACAAGTCTCACAATTTTTTTTGAGACGTTACTGGTATCCCCCTCGAGCAAATTGATTAACAACTGGAAGACAGTGCTACAGTGCTACAGCATACCATATCCTGGGTGCTTGGCATAAGGCAGGTCGAGACGTTGATACGCTTAATGTAGTAATGCAATGATCAGTACCATCTCCTAAGTAAGTTCTGTTCTGTTCTGTTCTTTTCTGTTCTGTTCTGCTTTGATTTGTTTGTTTGATTTTGGGGCCACACCAGAGGGCTTAGGGATTTCTTCTGGCTTTGTACTCAGGGATCACTCCTAGATGTGTTTAGAGAACATGGGGTATTGGGGATTGACCCTAAATCAGACACTTAAAAGGCAAGCACACTACCTGCTGTATTCGCTTTCTGGCCTCTATTCTGGTCTGTTTTATGAGGCAACAGAAAACCACAGAACTGAGAGTTTACCCAGTCAATCCAATATATTTTTTCTTCTTATATTTATTTATTGAATCACTGTGGGAAAAGATACAAAGCTTTCAGGTTTAAGTCTCGGTCATACAATGATCAAACACCTTTCCCTTCACCAGTACTCATTCTTCACCACCAAGAACCCCAATATACCCCCTCCCAACCCTCCCAATGCCTTTGAGGCAGATGATTTCCACTTAACTCTTCTCTACATTGATTATATTCATTATTTTGACAAAAGATGCACCATTATTGTTTAGAATTCCCCCCCCCCCAACAATCAGAATTGCTGAAAAGGCATTGTGAAATACTTTATTTTCTATGGTTGGTATGAGAATCATATAATGTCATATAATGATTTTGGATTTCTGCAAAGAGCCAGATAATTACAAGATTGGTTTCTGTATATCTGGTGTTATGGCTGTGCCAGAGAGCCACTCGTGTGGGGGGGGGGGGGGCAACTCGTGAACTCGGTAGGGCGTGAAAGAAGAGCCGGTACCGTCCCCCTTCCCATGAGACTGCAGTTGCCCCGTCACTGCCCGTTCATACCTGGCTTTCCTATAAGTTCTAAGGCGGTGGCCACCTTGCTGCTGGGGGTGGGAGGAGGTGGAAGGGAGCAACACCCTTTCCCTCCTGGGGAGGCATGGTGCCGTGGTTTAATGCATGGTCCATTCACTTTTCTGCCGCAAGCTGTCGGGCACTGGACTAAGTCCTTTTGCCTCTGGAGCCATGACCATGCCAAAGAGCCACTTGTGGGGGGCAACTCGTGACCTCGGTAGGGCGTGAAGGACAAGCCAGTACTGTCCCCCTTCCCATGAGACTGCAGTTGCCCCGTCACTGCCCGCTCATACCTGGCTTTCCAATAAGCTCCAAGGTGGTGGCCACCTTGCTGCTGGGGGAGTGGGGGGGGAAGGCGGAAGGGAGCAACACCCTTTCCCTCCTGGGGAGGCATGGCACCATAGTTTAACGCGTGGTCCACTCACTTTTATTGCCACAAGCTGCTGGGCTCTGGATTAAGTCCGGTAGGGCGTGAAGGACGAGCCAATACTGCCCCCCCTTCCCACGAGACTGCAGTTGCCCTGTCACCGCCGGCTCATACCTGCCTTTCCTATAAGCTCTGAGGCAGCGGCCACCTTGTATGCGGTCCAGATGCATTTCTGCCAAAAGCCGCTGGGTTTCGAGATTTGTTTCTGAGTCTCTGGGATCATGGCCGCTAATCTGCTTGATCAGGAGCCACAGAGGCTGTTTGTAGGCGGCAACTCGGGGTGTCATTGGGATGGGGAGGAAAGGGCCGGTTCCACCCCCATCTGGTGAGGCCCCGTGAGTCTCGTCACTACAGGCCCAAACCTGACTGTCCTGTGGCCTCTGGAGGATGGTGGTCACCGGGCTGCCAGGGGGAACAGGCCAAGGCACGAAACCTATTCCCACCTAGATTGGCCCAGCGCTAGTAACCTACTGCAGGAACAGGATGCATTTCTGCCAAAAGCCTTTTGGTTCCGAGATTCGTTTCTGAGTCTCTGGGAACATGGCCGTTAAGCAGTTCGATCAGGAAGCAGAGAGACCATGCCTCCAATTATATAGTTGAACCGGAGTTGGTTTGTGGGTGTGTCTCCCACATACCTAATTTTTGGCCATTTACTTTCTTGGTAAACTTTGCCCCAAGTTTTTGGGGTCTGGCCAAAGGCACAGCAGCAATTCTGGGGCTCTGGGACCATGCAGAGCCAGGGATCAAATTTGGGGTTTTGGCATGTACTCTAGCCTGTTGAGCTGTCTCTCTGACTCTCTGGAAAAGAATTTTTGGTGGGGTATGGGGCACTCCTGGTGGTTCTCAGGGCTTATGTACCACCACTCCTGGTGGTACTGGCTTTATGCTCAGGGATCACTTCTGGCAGGACTCAGGGGTCCATATGTGGTGCTGGGATTGAACTCTGGTTGGTCGTGTGCACCCTACCCACTGTACTTTCACTCTGGCCCTGGAAGTTTCTTATTTGTGCTGTTCTCTATGCCACTCATTGGTCACATGAGGATGAAACATTGAACACAGTGGCAGAAGAGAGTTTTACATTTCATCAAATTTGAGGGTAAGGGATATGGTCTGATGAAAGATTATAGCCTTGCCTTTTTGAGGCTCTGGTTTGATCTCTGGGACCACCAAAACAAAACATATCTCATCTCCACTTCTTTCTATTTTATTATTATTACTTTTTTTTGTTTGGCAGCCACACCTGGAGTAATCAGGGGTTACTCCTCCTGGCCCTGCACTCAGGAATCACTCCTAGTGGAATTCGCATGACCATATAGGATGCTGGGGGTGGAACCTGGGTCAGCCAAGTGCAAGGCAAGTGCCTTAACCACTGTACTCTCACTCTAGCCCCAGAGTTATTTTTTTTCACTTCATTACATTTTAAATAGCTACATTGTGCATAGTGGCTACTATATGGGATAGCACAGCTCTGAGAATCAGGTGACACCAAATGAGAAATCATCCTGGTCTGGAAGAAGGAGGGATGAAGAACATCCATCTCTTGCAGCCATGTCAGATAAGATAAGGCTACAAAAGGGCTACTCAGTCTGTGGGGCATTCCTGCCCTGTGGCTACCTCCTGTCCTTTCTGCTATGCACCATGCTTCACATTTACCTCTTTCTCTGCCTCTTTGAGTTCAGCTTCTTTCTCTTTGACTCTCTGCACAAACATCTGTCTCATCTCCTCTTCTTTTTTCTGCAGTTCCCCCAGGAATTCATTCCTTTTGGCTTCATATGTTTCCTGTAAACTAAAAACAGGTCAGGTTAATTCAGTGCCTTTGGAGTGGTCCCTGGTCAGTATAAACAGGGGCTGGGAATGTAGCTCAATAGTAGAACACATACTTTTCATGATCCCTGACACCTCTCTCTCACACAGACACAGACACAGACACACACACACACACACACACACACACACACACACACACACACACCCCACAGACCTGGTTCCAGTGATCCTTGGTTTCCCATTCTCCTTTCCCCAATTCTCAGATGCAAAAACTGAACCACCACTGGCAGTGAGGATGGCAGGTGACATGATTACAGAGCAGCTTGAAGGGGGTGGGACAGCCTGGGAAACTGGAGGCATGGAGGGGGAGAGGATGAGGATCTGGGCTACTAATAACATCAAGACACTGCTCAAGGGTCTTTGACACTCTGGTGATGTAGAGGGGAGGTATCTATGTACATCAGACCCATAAGAATGGCAGAAAAACAGCGCAGCTTCAGGACTGATCTCAGAAAGACGCTGGCAGCTGAGTTATCCTGGGAAGACCTGGCCACCACAGGGACAAGATCTCTGGATCCTAGGCATCCATTTTGTTTGTTGCATGAATGACAAACTTCAAAAATCCAAGAAAAAACAGCCTTAGGCCCAGTGATGTGGCTCAATGACAGATCATGTGCCTTGTATGTGGGAAGCGCTGGGCTCGACACCCCAGCACCCCCAATACTACAAAGTGTGAACCCTGACTGGTATTGGGTGCTATCCCCGGCACCACAACAATCACAAATAAAGAAAAAAGACATATGGCCAGCGTCATGGCATAGTGGCTTCAAGTGCCTACCTTACAAGCACCTATTCACAAGTTCAAATTCCCAACATCCCACATATGCCAAGTTCGGTCCCTGTCAGCGCTGTTGTTTCAGCCTGTCTGAGATGCAGGGTGGAGCAGGACACTTCAACTGTACTATAAAATGGGAGTAACCCCTGGTGAGCATCACAACTAAAACGATAAATGAGGGGCTGAAGCGATAGCACAGTGGGTAGGGCATTTGCCTTGCATGTGGCCGACCCGGGTTCAATTCCCAGCATCCCATATGGTCCCCCGAGCTCCGCCAGGAGTAATTCCTGAGTGCATGAGCCAGGAGTAACCCCTGTGCATCACCGAGTGTGACCCAAAAAAAAGAAAAGATAAGTGAATGCCATTATGAGAAAGCACTTAAAGGATTTTATTGCAATGATTTTTCTTGTTTTGGGAGAATTTTTTTTTTCTGTTTAGGAGGTATACCCAGTGGTGCTCATGGATCAGGTTTGGCAAGGCCAGGGTACCAGGTATTGATCCCAGGTTGACATCATATAAAGAAAGCACCCTACTCATGACACTATCTTGTAGCTGCAATATTTTACTTATTACATGTTATCTGTATTACATTATTTATTTCTTAACATAAATCTATAGTCCCTTTTAAGAAAAAAAAACACTTTAATAAGCCTATTCAGATTTTTCCTTAATTATCCTCACCTCTGTGTTCTTTTTATTTTTATTTTTGGCCCATACCTGGAAGTCTCTAGGGCTTACTCCTGACTTTGTGCTCAGCGATCACTTCTGGTGGGGCATAGGGGACCCTACCTGGTATCAGGGATAAAACCTGGGTTGGCAGTGTGCAAGGCAAGTGTCCTACGTGCTGTATTATCTCTTGGGCTGTCACTTTTACCTAATTGTGATTTTGCAGGATTTATATATTTCATGGGAATTTTAAAATATGTTCCACCAGATTAAATTTTAAATTATATATAATCACAAAGGTAAAGGTAAAGGCCCTACCGTTGATCGTCGATTTGCTCGAGCGGGCCCAGTAACGTCTCCATTGGAGACTTTGTTGTTACTGTGTCTGGCATATCGAATACTCTCGGTAGCTTGCCGGGCTCTCCGAGAGGGGTGGAGGAATCTAACTCGGGTCGGCCATGTTGGCCGCGTGTAAGGCGAACGCCCTACCCAAAGAGAAAGTTTTTTAAAAATATTTTTCAATTTATTATTAACAATTTTGTGGGATCTTAAGAATTCATTCCTCTCTATGTGTATGGGTATCACCATCTACACAATGAAAAAAAAAAGATCTCTCATATGTAAGATACAAAGAAACATGGTATGAGAAAAATATTCAGAATCATTGAAACTGGACCAGAGAGATGGTACAGTGGGGTAGGGTGTTTGCCTTGCACATATCTGACCCAGGTTAGATTCCTGATATCCCATATGGTCCTTCTCCCCGCCTCCCCCCACTCGCTGAGCCCCTCCAGAAGTGATCTCTGACCACATAAGCCCTGAATGTTGCCAGGCTGGGAGGGACGCTGGTGGAGGGTGTGGTGTTGGAATGATGCTTTCATAACAGTATGTAAATCCCAGAACTTCAAGAAAATTGTTTTATTTATTTATTTTGCTTTTTGGGTAACACCTCACGATGCACAGGGGTTACTCCTGGCTCTGCACTCAGGAATTGCTCCTGGTGGTGCTCAGGGGGCCATATGGGATGCTGGGAATTGAACCTGGGTCGGCCACCTGCAAGGCAAACGACCTACCCGCTGTGCTATCGCTCCAGCCCAAGAAAAATTGTTTTAAAAGGGGGGGATCAGAGAGAGAACATCATGGGCAGGATGTATAACTTGCAGAAGGTGGGCCCAGGTTTAATCTCTGGCACCCCAAATGGTCTCTTGACCCCATCAAGAGTGATCCCCAAGTGCAAAGCCAGCAGTAACCTTAAGCACCACTGTGTGACCCCCCAAAAAACCACAATCAAAACAAAACCAAACAAAACAAAACCCCAAAAAAGTAAGATTATAATAAAAATTTCTGAGGTTGTGCTTTCTGGCCATGAAGTTCACTCACTCATTTTTTTCTTTTAGTTTTAGTGTTCACCAGAGATAATTTCCCACTTTTGCAGTGGTAAAAAAAAACAGTTAAAGGGGCTCGGGAAAGAGTACATCGGGTAGGGCATGTGCCTTTCATGTACCTTTCATGTAGCTAACCAGAGTTAGTTCCCTGGCATCCCATAGGGACCCCCAAGCCTGCCAGGAGTAATCTTTGAGCACAGAGGCAGGAGTAAGCCCTGAGCATCACTGGGTGTTGTCCCCAGGCAAACAAAAAATGGTGAAAAAAGAACGTTGAACCTCTAGTGAGCACTGCAGTGACTCTTAGTTGAACAAATGAGCACTGCAGTGACTCTTAGCGAGCATCACCAGCAGAATCTGATTGCTGCAATAGAGTGATGTGCTCCTCCACAAGTGATCAGTTGGGCAAGCACTGTCATTAGATGGGCACAACACTCAGATGAGCTCCACAGCTCACAGCTGTGTGAGCACCTCAAAAACAACAAGGAAGGAGAGAGGGAAAGAATAATAAAAGTTTATGAACTGATTTTTAATGATTTCCTTTTGGGGTTTTGAGCCACACCTGGCAGTGCTCAGGGATTACTCCTGGTGGCATTCAGGGGATCCTATGGGGTGTTGGGGATGGGACCTCGATGACCATGTACAAGGAGAATGCCCTATCCGCTGTAGCTGTACTATTCTTCTGGCACTAAGGAATTACAGAAAATCTATCTATCAATGTAAGCTTTTGCTCCCCATGCTGGAGACCAAACTCGGGACCTTATGCACCCAACACAAGCACACTAAGACCGAACCACATTCTTAGCCCAGACAAAGGTATCGGCATCTTCCTTTGAAGGGCTAACATTACCATGAGGGAATGAAGGATCTCAGAGGATATAAGGGACAGAAGAGCAGAGCTCTTTACCTACTTTTAACACTCAGTTCTTGTCCAGTGAGATCATTCCCAGCTATTATTGTCATACTGGTCTCTTCTTTATCTTACCTACCCTCAGCCCCCCACACACTTGTGGTTAGTTCCAACTATTGACCAGTCCTCCTAACCCTGTTTTTCCCTGGCCATGGATATTGGTCATATACTATATATTTTATATATACCACAAAAGAATTCAGTCATTCTATATCTGTCCCTCTCCTTCTGACTCATTTCACTCGGCATGATACTCTCCAAGTCCATCCACTTATAGGCAAATTTCATGACTTCATTTTCCCTGACAGCTGCATTGGATAGATGTCCAACCCACTTTCTGCCTGATCATGTCTCCCTTTCTTCTGGGGAGGTGTATTTGGGTCACACCTGGTGGTGCTCAGAGCTTGTTCTTGGCTCTGTGCTCAGGAGTGACTCATGGTAATGCTCAGGGGAGCATATGCAGAGCAGGGGATCAAACGGGGATGAGATGTGTGCATTGATCCAATTATTTCTTTCTTGGGGTGTGGGTTTGGGCTACACCTAGTGTTGCTCAAGGCTCAATCCTGGTTCTGTGCTCAGGGATGATCCTTGGTGTGTTCAGGGGACTCTATGTGCTGCAGAGATTGAACGTGGGTCAGCTGTGAGCAAGGCAAGCAAGTGCCTTATCTGTTCTATTCTCTCCAATTCAATATGATCATTTCTATTTTTGTTTGTTTGGGGGCCACACTCAGCTGTTCTCAGGGCTTACTCCTCAAATATAATTCCTCACAGGGCTTGAAGGACTATACAGAGTGCCTGGGGTTGAACCCTATTTAGCTGTGTAGAAGGCAAACAAGCACATTACCAGCTGCACTTATCTCTCAGACCCCTGGTTATTTTTTTTATGAACAGAGACATTGGACACTGGAGCAGGAGTATGCTTAGAAGGGGAGAAGGTGACCGGATTATTTAGACAGCTGGCCTTCAATGACATCTTTAATGGCACGGCCAAATGAAAATAGCCAGGTGCAGTTGGATCAATAGGTTTGGAGCTCTCAAGATGGATTTGAGCTTGGAAATCATCTATTTCTGGTTGGTACTTACAGTGGTGAAAATAGCAACAACCAGCCCCCAAGAGAACAGAGAGTGAAAGGGCCAGAGGCTCTCAGGAATGTTCCTGGTCTCACTGACATCTACAGGAATGAGTTGAGAAACAGTGTGGACTATTGAGGTCAAGAAGAGAACGAGAGAGGAAGAGGAGGTGGAGGAGGAAGAAGAGGAGGAAAAGCAGTCAGCCTTGGAGCAGAAAAACCAAAGGAAGACAGATCTTATAGGAAAGAGGCAGCAGGGAGAATGTTAGAGCTGAGCTGAAAAGAGAAAAAAATAAAGATGCATCTGGCTTGTGAATGTGGCTCAAAGGTAGAACAGACACATCGTAGGCCCTAAGTTCCATCCTTTGCAGGAAAAAAATGTACAGTGTTGGAATTCTGCATATGGGAAACCATCCTTAACAATATTGCATGACTAGAGTCATAGCAAAGACTGTAAGGTGCTTCCCTTATACGTTGACAGCCTGGGTTTGATCCCCCATATCATTAACAGTCCTCTGAGTCCTGCCAGGAGTGATCCCTGAGTGAAGAGCCGGTGTAAACCCTGAGCACTGCTAAGTGTGGCCCCAAAACAAAAATATATATAATTAAAATAATTTTTAAATATCCTTTAAAAATGATACTGTAAACCACAGTACATCAACTGATAAAATTAAGTTAAGGACCAGAGAGATGAGCAGATAAACAGCAAATAGGGCACTTGCCTTGAATGTGGCTAATACATTCCCTGGTATTCAACAGGGTCCCCCAGGCCTGCCAGGAGTGATCCCCGAGTGAGCTGGGAGTAAACCCTGAGTGCCACCAGATGCAGCCCCAAAACAAACAAAAAAGTTAAAAGAACGAAAGCTGATCATGTACAGAGACATTCTTAGCATTTACTAATAAAATTTATGCTCATAAAAAATAAAATTAGGGAAGGGGTAAGAAGGTAGTGGAGATGGTAACTGCAACTAGTCCCAGGGCCTGCGCCACGTTGACTCCCATGACATTTGCATCCATTTATGTCAGCTCTCTCCCAGCTGCCAGGGCTCCAGGAACTTCATTGAGAAATTCTATGTGGAACTGAAGAAGGCCAACCCTGACCTCTCCAATTCTAATCTGAGAGTGCTCCAGTGTGCAGGCAAGCTATGGCCCCGCTATGCCTTTGGCCAAGAAAAGCAAGAAAGCAAGTCTCATAAAAAATTGGTGCCACCCCCAACAGTGTTCTATGGACCATATGGGATGCTGGAGACAGAACCCAGGTTGGCTGTGTACAAGGCAAGCACTCTACTTACTGTACTATCTCTCAGAAAAGCAAGTCTCTTTGAACAACTTCAGTGATGAACCGGTAAACAAAGCCCTACAGGATGTGCTAAGAGTCAAAGAGCACGAGCCCCACAGCCTCTCTGCTGGACTGACTACAATGTGGGAAATGTGTTTATTTTCCTGTTAGGGTTTTTGATTTTGTGCCTGGCAATGCTCAGGTGTTATTTCTGTACTTTTGGCTTTGCACTCAGGAATTACTTCTGATGAGTTTGGGGGACCCTACAGGATGCCAGGGATTGAATCTGGGTCAGCCACGTGCGAAGCAAACACCTTAGTATCACTCCACCTCCAGTTTTTATAATAAACAATTTTTAAGGTGGGTATAAAACTTCATTTATTTGACGTTGAACGTGATAATGACTGCCCTTGACTAGTCATTTTAGAGTCAAGGGTCAGGGTAGTACACGTAGACAATGTTCTCCCTTCTACTCAGAAACTCAGAGCCAAACTTCTAAGGCTGGTGAGAAGGAAGAGTAATCAGGGACAGATTCTTTCATATGTGGGGAGCAGCCTAGCAATACTCAGGAGACTTCCTGCAATCTTCGCTGAATGAAGGGCATCCAGGGTCACAACTGCTCGGGTCTCACAGGCTAAAGATGGTGATGCCCAGGTCGCCGTGTGGCATCAGGGATCAAAGCAGCATCAGGGGCCAATGAGATAGTACAGCAGGTAGGGCACTTACCTTGCATGGAATGACTTAGTTTAATCCACAGCACCTCATATAGTCCCTAAGCCTCGCCAGGAGTGATACCTGAGCACAGAGCGAGGAGTAGCAGAGCACACCGGATGTTGCCCCAACACAAAAAATAGTAGCATCAAGAGCTGTGTCCTAACCCCTCTACAATCTCCCCAGCTCAGGAGAGTTTGCTAGGGGAAGTAGAGGGACCGCGTAGACAAGGAGCATGCACTCTTACTACTGAGTTATGACTCCACCTGGTGGTGTTTGGGGAACCATGCAGGGCCGGGCATAGAACGTGGACCTCTGGCCCCAAAAGCATGCACTCCTGCCCTTCAAACTATCCACATAAATTCTGTGGAGTTTCTTCAGGGTGGAGAATATTCACATGCAATGTTAAAAGGAGCCAGCAGAGGGTAGCAGAGGTGAACTCATGGGAAAGGAGTACTGATGCTGGCACAGCAGAGAAAAGACTAGATGCAGCACTCCTCTCCTTCCAGCTGGTGGAGGGAGAGAGCTAAGGCTCAGGCAGTGCCCAGCAGGGAGTCCAGCCCTAGGAGCTCCCTGGGCCCGTCTGGGAAAGGGAAAGGTGAGTGAGGCTGACCCCCCCAAGCAATCATTCCCAAATATCCGGTCTCTGCTGTGAACAAGGACTTGTGGATTTCAGAGGTCCCTGGAAAGCTTTCTTAGGTCACCACCTTCCTCATTTAGCCAGGCCTGACAATCCCCAAAAGGAGCCCTAAGGGTACCACCTAGTTATTTAAAATGTGGGGTTCAGGTCAGAGCGATAGTATATAGGTAAGACACACAGCTGGTCAGGGTTCAGTCCCTGGTATCCTACTGATTCCCTGAGCACCACCATGATTGATTCCTGAACATAGAGGCAGGAGTAACCCCTGAGCGTTGCCAGGTTTGACGCCCTACCCAGACCAAAAAGTAAAATATTGGGCTCGGAGTGGAGGGATATTACAGTGTGTAAGGCACTTGCCTTGCATGTGGCCAACCTGGCTTCAATTCCAAGTACTCCATAAGGTCCCCCGAGTACTGCCAGGTGTGAACCCTGAGCACAGAGCCAGGAGTAGGCCCTGAGTATCACCAGGTTCAGTCCCCAAAGCAAACAATAAACAATAAAATGTGGGGCTTATGTCACTTGTGCATACAGACGAGAGCTTCGAAAGTGCGAGAGCCTTAAAGTTGTGCTTGGAGGTGGGGGGCCGCTCCTAGCTTTACTCAGCCAATTGGGCAGGACAGTACGGTGCTAGGGCCTGAGGATGTGGTACTGGGATCACCAGGGCCACCCGACAGGGCCTCCAGGGCCACACTCAGTAACTCAAGACATCGGTGAGACTCACAGGGTATATAGTGCCTGGCAGTTTGATCCGCAGATGTAACTTAACCCCTATAACAATCTAGCACAAATCAGAGCTTTGATTTGTCCCACTGAACTGGCCAAACCCTCTTTCTTCTCTGAAATCATCTTTGATTCTGATTTGTGAAGCACATCCCTGATTCTTTTTTTTTTCTTTTTTGGGTAACACCCAGCGATGCACAGGAGTTACTGCTGGTTCATGCACTCAGAAATCTCTCCTGGCAGTGCTCAGGGGACCATATGGGATGCTGGGAATCGAACCTGGGTCTGCCGCGTGTAAGGCAAACACCCTACCCGCTGTGCTATTGCTCCAGCCCCACATCCCTGATTCTTAACACAGAGGGAAGACAGTGTGGGTGACAACCAAACTTGGCACTAAAGTGCAAACACCAAGGACTACTGAGGAGGTAGCTTGCAGCTCACTGGTCTGCATCCAGCTGCTCCCCAGGTTCTGGGAAGGATTAAATAATGGGGCGGAGGATACCTGGAAATCTGATATTTTTGTTTTTGTTTTTGGACCATACCTGGTGAAGCTCAGGGGTTACCCCTGTATCTGCCTTCAGGAATTACTCTCTTAGCAGTGCGTGGTGGACCATATGGGATGCCTGGGATAGAACCTGGGTGGGCCACGTGCAAGGCAAATGCCCTACCTGCTGTCGTATCACTCTGGCCCCCATCCTGGACATTTGACTGATTTCCAGGAGACCGGTGAAGGAAGTGGAGCAGAAGAGCAGCCAAAGTGCATGTTTTTGAATATGATTTCAGCTCAGCTAAGGGCGTGGGGATGGGTGCACACATATGTACCTGCATTGCTCATGGAACATCCCCACCACAGCTCCCTGAGACAGAGGTAGAGAGCAAATCTGCCAGGGGACTCACCCACCCCTAGAATTCTCTGGAGCAAGGCTGCCACGCTGCTAGGTGGCAAGGGGTGGTGTGGCGGGAGAGGTACCTGAAGGGTTTGCTGTCAGGGTCTGTGTCCTTGAAGCCCATCTCCTCCAGTTTACAGCGGCGGTACAGCTCATAGTGGCGACTGTGTGTCTGCTCCCGCAGATCCTCCATGTTCACCCGGATCAGCATCTCCCGCAGCTTCACGAAGTCGCAGTGGGCCTCGTTCTCAACTGTGTGGCAGGTGGGGCAGGTACATGAAAAGGAAATTGAAAGCAAGATCGAAAGCAGCAAATCTGGACTCAGTCAGAGGCAAAAATTTCTCACAGCATTGTCACCTGGCTCATGTGTTTTTCGACTCCATAATAAAATTTACACTCTTTCTTCTTTTTAGTTTTGGGTCACTCCCAGCAATGCTCAGGGGTTATTTTTGACTCTACACTCAGGAGTTACACTTGGCTGTGCTTGGAGGGCCATGGGATGCTGGAGATCTAGCCTGGCTAGACCAAGTGCAAGGCAAATGCCCTACCCACTGTCTATCACTCTGGCCCAATAAAATTCACTTTTCTTTATTTTGGGGTTTTGGGGCCACACTCAGGAGTGCTCAAAGGTTATTTTCGGCTCTCTGAATAGGTATCACTCCTGGCAGTGCTCGGGGAACCATATGGGTCAAATGCCCTATGGCTGTACTGTCACTCGGCCTAATAAAACTCACTTATCTCTCTTTTAGGGTTTTGGGGCCACACCCGGCAATGCTCAAAGGTTTTTCCTGGTTCTCTGTACAAAGATCACTCCTAGCCATGCTCAGAGGACCATATGGGATTCCCGGGATCAAACTTAAGTTGTTGACTTTGTGCAAGGCAAGTACCTGCTATACTATCTCTCCAGCCCCACATATACATATATCTCTCCAGCCCCAAATATATTCAAAATGCATATATTTGCTTCTACTAAGGGCCATATATATCAATATATATCAGAAATATATATATATATATTTAGAGAGAGAGAGCGAGAACAAAGCCATGTATCCAAGAATGATGGAATGATGTATGGAATCTCTGTTCTAGTATTGCACAATGGTGCTGGGAGCTGAGATATGGAGCAATAACACAGCGGTTAGGGTGCTTGCCTTGCATGCAGCCCACCCGGGCCGACACCAGTTCGATTCCTCGGCCCCTCTCAGAGAACCCAGCAAGTTACCCAGAGTATCGCGCCTGCACAGCAAAGCCTGGCAAGCTAACTGTGACATATTCAATATCCCAAAAACAGTAACAAGTCTCACAATGGAGAAGTTACTGGTGTCCGCTCGAACAAATCAATGAACAATGGGAGGCCAGTGTTACAGTGCTTTTTTTAAAAAAAAAATTGAGCCATACCTGGCATTGCTCAAGGTTTACTCTTGGCTCTACACTCAGAAATCACTCCTGACAGACTTGGAGGACCACATGGGGTGCCAAGGATCAAAACGGGTCATCTGTATGCAAGGCAAACATCCTATCTGTTGTACTATCATTCCGGCACTGAAGTAAAAGACTTTTTTAGAATGGCCAAGATTAGTACCAGGAATTTTACTCCATGGCTTGGAGGCCAACCACACATGCTAGGGGAAAAGGGAGCTCAGATAGAGAAGGGAATACCAAATAAAGGTGTTGGGAGGATCCTCCCAGGATGGGAGAAGCATGCTGAAAGTAGACTATAGACCAAACATGATTGTCACCCATTGCCTCTTTTGCAAACCACAACACCCAAAAGGAGAGAGAGAACAGAGGGGAATGGCTTGCCACAGAGGCAGGGTGGGACGGGGGCGGGGATGGGAGGTGGGAGGGATACTGGGATCTGTGGTGGTGGGAAATGGGCACTGGTGGAGGGATGGGTATTTGATCATTGTATAATTGAAACTCAAGCATAAAAATTTGTAAGTCTACAACTGTACCTCATGATGTCTCACTAAAAAAGACTCTTTTTTAAATTTAATTAATTAATTTTAAATTTATTTTTATTAATATTATTTTTTAGTAATGTGGGAGTACTGCTATTTGTTCAGCCATTGATTAACCTGCCTGAATTGGGAATGAACTCCACTGAAGTAATAGACTCTTACACTCAGGGGTTTAGGGGTCAATGGAAGAATGATAACAACAAATCTGAGACAATATCACGATCACGGTCACAGTCCTCCCATTGTTCATCAATTTGCTCGAGTGGGCCCTGTAACATCGTGAGACTTGTTACTGTGTTTGGCATATCAAATACGTCACAGGGAGCTTGCCAGGCTTTGCTGTGCGGGCAAGATACTCTCGGTAGCTTGCCAGGCTCTCCTAGAGTGGCAGAGGAATCAAACTTGGCTCAGCCAGGCCGGTCACGCGCAAGGCAAATGCCCTACCCATTGTGCTATCACTCCAGCCCAAAGACAATATCAAAATTATGCAAATGGAGATTTATATGGCAAAGATGAGATGACAATCCAGAAAATGGTGGAAGAGGAGTGCTCAAGTCCTCTGGAAGAGTTAAATGCACAGACTGCACTAGGGCAACCTGAAACAAGATCAGGCATTGAAAGACAAATCAGGATCAAGTTCTTTCAGTTCATCAGTGGAGTAAGGCCAGTTGTAGAGCTTGTGAGTTGCAGAGTTAGTGGAGTGGAGAGGCCAAGGGATGACTATGTCTAAAGTACCCATAGGGTAGAAAAGAAGCAGGAGCTCAAGTGTTGACAGCAACACTTTCCATGTCCCCATGTCTAAGCATTTTCATTATTTCATTTTTCCTATCAGCTGTGTAGTGTTCCATTGTGTAGATGTACCATACTTTCTTTATTCAGTCGTCTGTTCTCAGGCACTAGGGTTGTTTCTAGATTCTGGCTATTATCAATAGTGCTGTGATGAACTGAGGAGTGCAGATGGCTTTTCTGCATTGTTTTTTGGCATCTGGTATATATTCTCCGAGTAGCAATATTGCTGGGTCATATGGAAGCTCAATTTCTAGTTTTCTGAGTAATGTCCACCGTATGACTGAAACTGAATAATGAACAATTTTGTAACTATATATAGCATGTTAATTCAATTAAGAATATATTACATATACATATATATATACAGACACAAAAAGCAGAGCTGACAGTGACAAATGAGAGTGTGAAAAGCAGCGGTGGCTCATCTGGATGGGAGAATCTTCAAAGGACCTGATTTTTGCCATGGTCACTAGGACACGGTGAACCCCACTTTCCAACCTGAATGAGCAAGCCCAGATCTCAAAAAAGTAGAGAATCAGAGTCAGAGAGTCAGAGAGATAGTACAATGGGTTGCATGCATACACTTGCCTTGCATGCAGCCAACCCTTGTTTGAGCCCTAGCACTATATAGGGTCATCTGAGCATGCGTGTCCAGGAGTAATTTTTGAACAAAACAACGTGTGATCCGTAAGCAATGCTGGTTGTGGTGCCAAAACCAAACAGAAAAAGTGTAGAAGAGCAAAAGCCTGCTTTTGGACCAATGTGCAAGATGGCTGGAGCGATAGCACAGCGGTAGGGCGTTTGCCTTGCACGCAGTCAACATGGCCGACCTGAGTTCGATCCCTACACCCCTCTCGGAGAGCCCGGCAAGCTACCGAGAGTATCTCGCCCGCACGGCAGAGCCTGGCAAGCCCCCCATGACGTATTCGATATGCCAGACACAGTAACAACAAAGTCTCCAATGGAGACGTTACTGGGCCCGCTCGAGCAAATCGATGATCAACGGGAGGACCGTGACTGTGGCCGTACAAGATGGAGAAAGGAACAAATTCACCAAGAAAAGAACTCGGCTTAGAGTACAGCAGCATGTAAGCAGTGCCCTGGCTTGTGTCTCCAGGCCTGGCTCACTGAATGAGAAAGGTGGTGTTTGTGGATGAGATGATGAACAAGCACATTTGCCCCAGATTCTGTTTTGCAGGGTTGGGAATGAGTAGAAGGGGCGGGGAGAGTTGTGTGATGATGGGATGGACAAGGTTGTTCCGGACTACCTGGAGGTCATATGAGTCATCTTGCCAATGCCCCCAGACCGCCTCCCCTTTTTTGCTTAAGAGGTCCTGACTTTGGAATAAAGCCTCTCAACTTCAGAGACCAGAAGCTAGTATTAGAAACTGTGTGGGGCGGCAGCTACTCCCATATCCCACGCCACTGTCATGTAAGTTCATTTACCAGCCTTGTTCCAGAGACTCAAATGAATCTGAAAAGAGATTAGGTAGCCCCCAAAATTTCTCAGACACACATTCCCGGCAAGCACACCCAGTTTAATTTTGCCCAGTTAAATATTCTGGATTTTCTGGAATGTGCAGCTGCATTTGTGGGCTGTGTGACATCTCCAAACTCTGCAACACTGACATCCCAGTAAGAGCACACCAGGTTGGATGGGATGTAGCACAGAAGCCAACCAATCTCGACCAACAAAAGCATTAACACAGAAGGCTTAATTTGCAACAACAGCTTAGTAAACCCTCAGACAAGGACTTAATGTCCCCATGGCGAGAGACAATTTTCACAATTTTTTTCTATGGAAATGTTTTTTTAAATCATTCTGTTAGACATTTTATGATTATAAGCAATATAAAATAAGTCATTGTGAGCCTACCACAGGGGCAAACTTGATGGGAGGCTCTGAAAATGGAGACAACGGTAGAGAGAAGGCGACAGGAGTGGTGGGATTGGTGTCGGAATAGTGAATGTCTATAACAAATCATGAACAACTTTGTCAAGTGGGAAAAATACTGAGATACAAACTTCCAGTTATAAGTAAAAGGGACGTGTCATACAAGGCAGTGTAACAATTAATAAAACTGTATTGCATGCTTGAAGTTGCTAAAAGAAACAGAAACTGTGTGGGGTGGGGGTGGGAACAGAGAGCTAGTACAGCAGGTATGATGCTGGCCTTGCTCATGTCCAGACTGGGTTTTATTGGGAGATCCACACAGGGTCCCCTAAGCCCCATCAACATTGAACTCTTGAATGTAGGGCCAGGAGTAAACCCTGAGCATGGCCTGGTATGGCCCCCGAATACTTTTGTCCATCCCCAAAATAAGTCACATCAGGGGCTAGAGAGATGGTTAAAAGGGCTGGTGCACAAGCTTGGAGTGCAAAAGAGAACTTTGAGTATTGAAAGAGGTAAAGTGATATGCATGATACTCTTTCAGTAAGAGTATTGCAAATCTCAGTGCCTAAAAGGAAAATGAGAAGGAGGGAGGGAGGGAGAGAGAGAGAGAGAGAGAGAGAGAGAGAGAGAGAGAGAGAGAGAGAGAGAGAGAGAAAGTGTCAAAGAGGCAAGCTGTGGGGGTGGGGGTCAGGGAAAGTGGGCAGGAGGGAAATTTGGGACATTGGTGGTGGGATATGTGCACTGGTGAAGGGACAGTGTTGGAACATTATATGACTGAGATTCTATGACAAACAACTTTATAACTGTTTATTTAACTGTGCAGCGGGTAAGGCGTTTGCCTAGCATGCGGCCAACGTGGATGACCCGGGTTCAATTCCTGCGCCCCTCCAGGAGAGTCCGGCAAGCTGCCGAGAGTATCCTGCCTGCACGGCAAAGCCTGGCAAGCTACCCATGACGTATTCGATATACCAAACACAGTAACAAAAAGTCTCACAATTTGTTGTGAGACGTTACTGGTGCCTGCTCAATCAAATCGATGAACAACGGGAGGACAGTGCTACAGTGCAGTTAATGAAAAAAAGGGATAAAAAAGAAAATTGTTGGGCTGGAGAAATAGCACAGTGGGTAAGGCGTTTGCCTTGCACGCGGCCGACCCGGGTTCGATTCCCAGCATCCCATATGGTCCCCTGAGCACCACCAGGGGTAATTCCTGAGTGCAGAGCCAGGAGTAACCCCTGTGCATCACCAGGTGTGACCCAAAAAGCAAAAAAAAATTGTTATATCTCACCATGAGATCATTAAGTCTTTGTCTGAGAGTTTACAAAACTGCTGTTGCCAGTTGAGCCTTCTGTGTTAATGGTTTTGTTTAGTGAGCTTAGTTGGCTTCTATGTTATTTTCCCATCTAATTTGGTGAGCTCCTACTGGAATGTTAGTATTGTAGAGTTTGGAAGTTGTGGTCATGCACCTCAGAAACTCCAGAATATTCAACTGGATTAGTCCTATCTTTTTGTGGGGGCATTTTTGAGCCACACCTAGTAGTGCTCAGGGGCCAATATGTGGCCCTGGGGATTCGAACTGGAGTTGGTGGAACGTAAGGTAAATGCCTTAATGCCTGTGCTCTCCCACCCTGTAATCTATTTGCAATAGCTTTCTGGATTATTTCTATCAGTGCTATTATGAACTACACTACCGAGAGTGCTCTTGTTCATCTCCTGCAGCACTTAGCAGACATACATGCTTTTTTGCACTCTTCCTCCTTCTTCCATTGCTGCTCCTACATCATATGCTGGCTTGGGGTTTGTTTGTTTTCTGTTCTAAACAATCCTCTATTATCGGATCTTGTAAAAGTAATAACTCCTGAATATCGCTGGGTGTGACCCCCAAAAGCAAAAAGAAAAAATATGAGATCCTTTTACTGACATTTTTCTAAGAGTTTTTGCAACAGCCTATCACTGCACTGGGAAGCAATGTCGCTTTTATTTTTATCTATTTATTTATTTTTGACTTGGATGCCACATCCAGCAATGCTCAAGGTTTACTCCTGGCTCTGCACTCAGGAATCACTTCTGGCGGGCTTGGGAAACCATATGGGATGCTGGGGGTTGAACTTGGGTGAGTCATGTGCAAGGCAAGCGTCTTTTCTGCTATACTTTTGCTCTGGCCCCTGATATTGCTCTCGAATTGATTCAGATAACTCTGATTATTAAGAAATGACAGGGAGCAACTTAGTCCTATACCAAGTCCCTCCCCACATTTGGAGTTCCTTTTCCTTTATCTTCTATTTTCCGATAAAGTTTCTACTTTCTCAATAAAAAGAAATGATTGGGAAGCTGGAGATACAGTACAGTTTCTAGGGTGTTTTCCTTGCAGATGTCTGACCTGTGTTCAATCTCCCACACCCCATCTGGTTCCCCGAGCCCACCAGGAGTGATCCCTGAATATGGAGCTAGGAGTGAGCCCTGAGCACAGCCAGGTGTGAGAAAAACGAAAAGAAGAGAGAAAGAAAGAAAAAAAGGAAGGAAGGAAGGAAGGAAGGAAGGAAGGAAGGAAGGAAGAAAGAGAGAGAAAAAGATAGAGAGGAAGGAAGGAAGGAAGGAAGGAAGGAAGGAAGGAAGGAAGGAAGGAAGGAAGGACTTTGTTCCATTCCAGCACCATATAACCCTGGGTACCACCAGGGGTGGTCACTTCTGAGCATAGAATCAGGAGTAGGCCCTGAGCACCACAGGGATATTGCCCCCAAACAAAACAAAACGAACAAAAAAGGAAAATAAATTTTTGAAGGTAGGGGCTTGGGGGACAGTAGAGCAGATAGAGCGCATGCCTAACCTGAACATAGCCAGGGATGGCCCTGGCAGTCCCCGAGTACTGTCAGTGCAGCCTGGGTAATCCTTGGCATTGAGCAGCAGCAGCAGCAGCAGCAAATCTTCACACTTGGCTTGCTTGCTTGCTTGCATGCTTGGCACACACTGGCACCATATGGTCCTCTGAGTCCTACCTGGGAGGCCCACACAGTCCCCGAAATCATCAGGTCTGAGCAGCACTGCAGTCCCTGGCTGAGTTCCTATCTGATGCTCCTGATGAACGCGTATTCCCGGAAGTGGCCCCCAGTCACCCTGAGCACTGTTTAGGAGGCCCTGTCCCACACAAATGAAAAATAAATTCTTTTGTGTATGGGGACAAGTTTCTAAAAGACCAGACTTTCTACATGTGAAGCATGTACTGAGATAAGAGACCTAGCTCCCTGGCTCTTATTTTTAAATTGAATCACCGTGAGATACACAGTTACAAAGTTGTTCACAATTGGGTTTCAGTCATACAGTATTCCAACACCTGTCCCTTCACCAGTGTATATGTCCCAGCACCAATGTCCCCAGTTTTCCTCCCACTACCTCCCTTCCCTGCCTCTATGACAGTTTTCTTCTTCTTCTTCCTCTCTCTATCTCTATCCTTTTGGTATTATGGTTTGCATTATAGGTACCGAAAGGTTATCATGTATATTCCTTTACCTCCTTTAAACACTTGGTTCTTGTCCAGAGTGCTCATTTCCAACTGTTATTGTTGTAGTGGTCCCTTCTCTATCTTAATTGCCCTCCCCCCACTTGTGGCAAGCTTCCAACTATAGACCAGTCCTCCTGGCCCTCATTTCTACTGACTTTCTTTGTTTTGAATAAGTAGCATTTTTGCTTTGTAGTTCTTTTGCTTTGCTTGTATTTATTTTTTTTTGGTTGGGGGGCACACACAGCAATGCTCAGAGGTTACTCTTGACTCTGCACTTAGGAATTACTCCTGCTGGTGCTCAGAGGACCATATGGGATGTTGGGGTTCGAACTCAGGTAGGCCATCATGCAAGGTAAGTAGCCTACCTGAGGTACCATCTCTCCAACCCCTGCTTTCATTTTTTGAGGTGGGCCATACCTAATGATGCTCCGAACTTCCTTCTGGCAGTGTTCAGGGATCACTCCTAGTGGTGCTGGGGCTAGGAGGGGTTGCCTTATGAGGTTCCCAAGATCAAACTGGTTATATGCAAGGCCAGTATCTTAAGCCCTGTACTATCTCTCTGACCCCATTTTGCTCTGATTTTAATCTTCTCAGAGATGGAAAGACGAAAGCCTGCCTCTTGGTCCCTTAACTGCCTGGTAAGCTTGATTATGGTTTTAATTTCAAGGGGCCTTTGTTTTGGCTTGAACATTTCCCCCATTAAAACAAAAGGAAGCTTCTCTTATAGCAGAGAAGCAAGAATATTGGAGCCAGGGTTGACCTAGAGTCACCACCCATGGCTGTTGGAGTTCCAAGCCAAATGAAGAGAGATGAGGGACTTATGGCACAGTGAATGGGTAAACAGGAGCTATGAGTTCAGAAACCCTCCTGTAGAAATGCACTCACCCTGGACTGTGCCCCAAGGATACTGCCGCGCCTTCATCATCTTGTTTCCTATCTTCAGCTCTTCTGTGCTGCCGATGACAGCAAAAGGCAGGTGGGCCTGAAAAAGAAGGTCCAGAAAAGCTCAGAACTCCAGGGGCAAGGCACTGAGCACCCCAATGGACAACAGGTCCTTGTCCATGGTCCCCACCACAGAGTGCCTCCCCATCCACTACACCACAGGCACTGATTCTGCTCAAGACCTGTGTGGGATGAGTGGCCTTGGCTGAGCTTCCACTACTCAGAAATTCATCATCAAAGGGAACAAGGGGTGCTGGAGCGATAGCACAGCAGGTAGGGCATTTGTCTTGCATGCAGCCAACCCGGGTTCGATTCCCAACATCCCATATGGTCCCCTAAACACTGCCAGGAGTAATTCTTGAGTGCATAAGCCAAGAATAACACCTGTGCATCGCCGGGTATGACCCAAAAAGAAAAAAAAAAGGGAACAAGGATATGATCCAAGGCAGGGCAAAACACACACAGCCACAAAATGGCAGGAGCAGAAGCAGTGACACAGATGAGCTAGCAGTGCTGTGTTCGCTGTTGTGGAGGGGAAGAGTGTTAGGGAGGGAGGGTAGGGAGATATGAGGGCTATGTCTCAATGGAGAGACTAGAGGGGAAGCAAAGGAGGTGGGATCAAGCCCCCTCACCCCCAGCCCTGGGATGTGAGAGTACCTTAAGTGGGTACACACTGAAACCACAAAGAGACTCTAACTCAATCTCATTCTGCCCTATAGCACGTGCTTGCTCTGAACTCTTGGGCTTAGAAGTTTGCTGTCAACCTATACTTACCCACCTGCCCAACACATAGTAGGTGCTAAATAAAGACTCTTTGAATGGCAGGAGCAGGGAAAGAGGAGTAGGAAGGAAGCCCAGGATCAAACTGAAAGTGGAGCTAGATGGTCTGAGGGTCTTCTCTTCATGGGCCAGAGAAGAGGGAGCTGTCTTCAAGTCATTCCTGAGTGGCCTGGGAAACACAGCCCACGCCAACCCTATTCTACCAGGAGCTGGACAGGTTTTAAGTGCTGAATGACCCCTGACCCAGTGAAGCCACTAAATAAAAAGAATTCACAGAGTGAGAGACATGCTGAGCAGGGCTCTTTCCTTACACATGGTCAACCCAGGCTCAATCCCTAGTACAACATATTCCAGCACCCCCACCCTGTCAGGAGAGACCTCTGAGCACAAAACTAGGAGTGAGTCCTGAACTCACCCAGGTGTGGTCACACAAAGAAACACAAGCAAAAAGTTTGGGGCCTGGAACAGTACAGCAGGTAGAGCATTTGCCTAGCATACAGCAGACCAGGGTTTGATCCCTGGCATCCCATATGGTCCCTGGAACTGCCAGGAGTTATTCCTGAGCATAGAGCCCTGAACATCACTGGATGTGGCCTCCCAAACAAACAAACAAAAATGAATTCACAAAGTAGATGATCCCAAGGGGAGGGAGTTCACCCCAAAGGGCTTTCCAATTACCAGCCCCAGGTCTACAGGAATAAGTTTTCTTAGCCTGCTTAGAGAAAAAGGTTTGCAGATCAGATATTCTGCTCCATCTGCTCTTTCTTCCATTCTAGAAATGTATGTTTCACTGCAATTAGGTGCCAGGTATTAAGAAGAATACAACACTGAAAGAGGTTGGAGATTGTCCTAGGCGAGTGCAGTCTGGCAAGTAAGGGAGAGTCACATGCCGACAGTGACCATACAGAAAGTCAGGATGACATGTGAAGGCCTAAGCCCTGCAGGAACATTAATTTCTGTGGGTTTTTTAGGGGGTAGTGGTGGTTTGGGCCACAGCTGACAATGCTCAGAGGTTACTCCTGGCTCTGCACGCAGAAATCACTCCTAGTGAGTGCAGAGGGGAACAGATGGGATGCCAGAGATAAAACCCAGGTTGGCCACCTACAAGGCAAGCGCGTTACCTGCTGTAATAGCTCTCTAGCCCTGAGGAGTCATTAACTTTATGAAAAATAAAGCAGGCTTCCCAGAAGTTAACAATAATGTTACCCAGATAATTAATAGCTATAGAACTCTTATTAACAACCACAGCAGTGTACTCAGTTCTCTATGCTTGTTTTCTTGATTTGGAAGATGGGGGATCTGGGTGGAGGAGGCCTAGTCCCGATCTGAGCAGGCTTGGAGATCTCAGCCCCGGGTTCTGCATGCCTTGGTTCCTCTGCCAGTTACTTCATGTGTGAGGCTCATCCGAACATGTGGAGAGTGGTCTTAAGCATGGCTGTGGCTGGTTTCAGAGATCTTCGGCTGCTGGAGCTCTGCTCGGGGTGGGGAGGGAAACTCAACCCACCCCCCTCCAAGGGGCCCTGGCGAGGACAGTCAGGTGCGGGGGCAGGAGATTCTGCGCTGTTCTCTTCTGGGAACTGGGTTTTATAGTCTCTGGGTCTTGGCCGTTGATGGGATAACATGGTGCCTCCGGGGGGCAGTTGGTGGGTGTAACGCCTACCTACCGGAAGATGGGGGATCTGGGTGGAGGAGACCCAGTCCCGATCTGAGCAGGCTTAGAGATCTCAGTCCCGGGTCCCGCATGCCTGGGTTCCTCTGCTGGTTTCTTCATGTGTGAGGTTCGTCTGAACATAGGCGTTACACCCATCAACTGCCCCTGGCATCATGTAATCCCATCAATGGCTAAGACCCAGAGAATATAAAACCTAGATGCCGGAAGCTCTTATTATCTAGTTCTTACTCTTGAAGAAACTGGCAGGCTACCGAGTATCCTGCCTGCACGGCAGAGTTTGGCAAACTCCCTGTGGCGTATTTGATATGCCAAAACCCAGTAACAATGATGGGTCTTATTCCCTTGACCCTGGAAGATCCTCGAATGTGGCACTTTCTAAAATCTCAGGGCTAGGACAAAGGAGATGTTACTGGTGCCTGCTCGAGGAAATCGATGAACAGGATGACACGGATACTGTGATTCTTGATTTGGGACCATATCCCCAAAATGCTCAGGGATTATTGCTAGCTCTGCACACAGGAATGACCTCTGGCAATGAGCAGGAGACCGAGAATCGAACCCAGGTTGTCTGTGTGCAAGGCAAGCACTTTACCACTGTGTATTATGGCTTCCACCTCATATTCAGCTTGTAAGTATTGTGCTCTAGGAATCCGTGTTGCATCATCTCATTGAATCTTTTGAGTTTGTTGATTTGGTTTGGAGACTACACCCGACTCAAGGCTTAGGGACCACACCCAGCAGTGCTCCTGGGATCATGTGATGCTGAGGCTCAAACTTGGTGCTTCTACATACAAACCAATGTACTCCAGTCTTTTAAGCCTTTTCCCCAGCTCATTTCACTGAACCTTTACAACTCTGCTATTGGAAGTGGATTTTTTCTGTTGGTGATGGTTTTTTCTCTTGTATCACCATGAAATACACTGTTATAAAGTTGCTCATGATTGGGTTTCAGTCATGCAATGTTTGGACAGCTATCCTTTCACCAGTGTATATTTCCCACCACCAATGTTCCCAGTTTCCCTCCTGCTAACTCCCTTACCATGTGGACACTTTTAGGGGGAGTGTTTGGGTCACACCCAATAGTGCTCAAGGTTTATGCCCAGTACTGTGATCAGGAGATTATTCACTCCTGGTGGTGCAGAGGGAACTCCAGGCCCCTGAATGAAACCCGGGTCAACTGTATGTAAGTGCCTTCCCAAATGTACTGCGTCTCCAGCCACAAGGAGGTGGGAAATGAGTTATCGATCCTTCAGGGTAACTGTGCGTGCAACACATGTAGCACTGTGGGGGAGGAGGGAGTGTTAGATTCCCAAAAGCCTGACTACCACCCCACCCCCTGCCCCAGCAGCTTTATCTGGGCATAGCACATTCCTACTTGGGGACCAAAAACAAGCTGAGAGACTCAGCTGCGCTCCGAAACACTTCCTGGGAAAACATTTCCCTTTTTACTGAGACCCCTCTTCTCCCCTCAAATAAGACTTCAGACATGTCACCCCAATGAACCCAGGGACAGTGATGGCAGTGCATTCTCCTGGTATCCCCTTTTGGGGTGTTCAGCTTAAATGTGACAGGAGGACGGTGCCTTAGAAGGAGCGGGGGAAGTTCAAGAGGAAAAAGGGGAAAAACTCCAAGATGAGAACCGAGACATTAGAAAATGTCAGTACTCCCTGGAGACTGTTATTTTTATCTCCCAAAAGCAGTCAGTGGGAATCACAAGGTCACTCGCTTCCCTTCTACCTTCCCCTGCTGACATTTTTATCCCTTCTAGCTGTCCAGGTTCCTAGCTCCCACGCCGAGATCTTCCCAGGGAATATAATGTGCCTGCCCTCCCTGACTTCACTGGAAGGCACCCAGGATGTCATCCTTTGGACGTCAGCTAACCGACCACGAAGGGCAGGAGATGGCTGGGCCTGTCTCTGCTGCTCTTGCGGCATCCTATCCAAAAGACAACCGATAGGATCAAGCAGACAGAGAAAACAAACTCCCACCACCTCACCAAGCACACTCCTAAGTGTGCTTGCACCAACTCACCAACCTCAAAGCCAGACCATCCAGTTGACTTTCTGGACCTTCTGAGAGATGAACAGGAGTAATGCTTAGTATCTATGAGTTCAAGGACACCCCAAGAGATGCCAGACAGAGAAGCTGCTAAAATCCATATGACAAGCTTCTCTGCAGAGTCCCTGTAGTTCTCACCTAGGAGACCACCACCGAGAGGGCCCCAAAATGTCAGAGGTCTCAATTTCAAGAAACTCTATGAGCTAGTAACCATCCTCTTTGGAATCTGTTCTCAGATTTACTCTTTCTTACTCATGACTTCCTTACACCCTTCTTAGGATATTTGGTTTATGGGGTGATTTCCTTTGGGGTCATTTTGGGTCACCCTCAGTGGTGCTCAGGGGCTACTCCTGTGCTCAGCAATGACCCCCGATGGTGCTCAGGGGACCCTTCATATGCAGTTCACTGAACTGGGGTCATCACATTCAGGCCTTCCTGTACTTTCTCTCCTGCCCTCTCCTAGAACACTAGAAAGTTATTCAGTGACCCCACTAACATTAATGATTCTATTATGGTCCTACCACAACCATTACACTCAAAGTTTATACCAAGATGGTTCAGAACACTTTCTTCCTCCCTTGATAATCCCCCCATGGGATGAGTCTCCTTCTCAGGGTAGAGAGCATTTGTCATTCCTTCTGCTGGTGACACTGGCTGCCATCTCCAGCTCCTACTGTCCAGTGAACAAGAGCACTTCCTGATCCCTTCTCCAGTCAATCTTTGGGGAAGGGGTTCCACAAAAGTATGAGCAGTGACCATGACATTGTTGTCTCTGAAGAAGAAATGGGCTTAGGCCTGTGGATATCCCAGTGCCCCTGTGGTCAGCCATGTGCTCTTACTGGTCCCAAACGCCTTTGTGGGGACTACAGCCAAGAAATCACCCTCAGAGCCAGTTGTGGAAGTTGGTTCACACCCTGCTCCCTGGCTATGGTTTGACCAATTCAAAGACCAACAATCAACTGAAACAACAGAACATTCTGTAGGAAAAGTATATACCTAGGGCATTTCCCTTGCATGCGGCCGACCTGGGTTCAATTCCCAGCATCCCATATGGGGCCTGAGCACTGCCAGGAGTAATTCCTGAGTGCATGAGCCAGGAGTAACCCCTGTGCAATGTTGGATGTGACCCAAAAAAGCAAAAAAAAAGAAAGAAAGAAAGAAAGAAAGAAAGAAAGAAATTAGCAAGAAGTGAAACCAAACCTCTCACTCCTTTTTTCTTGCCTAGCAGGAACCTGAGCCCTTATCACTGGAAGCTGAGCTCTCATCACTTTCATTTCCTGCCATGAAATCCCCCACTAGGCAGCAGAGCGATGGTTGTAGGTCTTCTCCACTTAGGCAAGATGCTTCTTTTATTTCTGGCGATCCAGTTCCCACGATAATTGGCTAGGGTGGTTGAGGCTGTGGAGCTGGAGTCAAATCCAGAATTGAAAGACCAGCACCCCTTCCTCCTACCACCCAAGCCCTGGTTCCTGGTGCTGCATCTTCAGGCATTACGGCTTGTCCAAAGACCCAGGGAACTTTTCATATAGTTGTTCCGGTGGCGAGCCAGCAGGCTCCATGATCACAGTGGTGACCCCCCATCCTTTATTTCCGTCCACAAAACACAAAGCAGAGCATTCTCATAGAGGCCTCCTTGCGCCAGGCATGCCAAAACCCAGGCATACTTGGTGGGAGACAGACAACCGCTCTCTTTCCCACTCAAAAAACATGTATGGCTATTTCTTAGGCATGGGGGATAGCTCCAGTGGTAAAGCGCATGCCTTGCATATATAAGGCCCTGAGTTCAATCCCCAGTACCACATGGATTGCCGAGGGCACAGCTCTGCTGGGAAAGGACTGTACTGAAAATGTGAAAGCTGTGGGATGAAGAGATAACACATTGGATAAGGCACTTGCCTTGCACTTGTCTGACCCGGGTTTGATCCCTAGCATCCCATATGGTCCTCTGAACACCGTCAAGAGAGATTCCTGAGTGCAGAGACAATAGTGCAGAGCCAATAAAATAAAAATAAAAGAGAAATATTGGGAGAAGGAGATAGAGGGAATGAGAACTGGACTAGAGGTGACAAGGGGATAGTGGATGAGGGAGGGTCATTGGCGCTTCAGTGGTGGGGTGCACTAATTTTGCATAACAATTTCAAAAACACTAACAATACTGTAACTACCTAAACTGGAACACAGATTTTGATTTTTTTTGGTGGGTGGGGGAATACATTTATTTATTTCAATTATTTTTGTTTTGATTTGGTTGGAGCCACACTGGGTGGTACTCAGGGATTATTACTGACTCTGTTCCCAGGGATTGGTCCTGACTGACTTGGGGGACAGGGAGAGGAGAGGAGAGGAGAGGAGAGGAGAGGAGAGGAGAGGAGAGGAGAGGAGAGGAGAGGAGAGGAGAGGAGAGGAGAGGAGAGGAGAGGTTTCCATTCAAACACTCCAAGCAGAAGTGTGCTCTGGGCTTACTCCTGGCTCTACCCTCAGGCATCACTCCTGCGGAGGAGCTCCGGGGACTCTGTGGTGCAAGGGATCAAACCCTGGGTCATCAGCGTGCAAGGCAAGTGTACCTGCTGTACTATCTCTCCAGTCCCTTGTTATTCAAGTACCTGCTGTATTGCTGTACCTGCTGTACTCTCTCTCCAGTCCCTTGTTATTCAATATTCACCACTGGTCAGGGGCTCTCACCAACCCTCTCTACCCATCCTCCCAACATGCACATAACCTCACTCCCAGGCCTAGTGCATCCAAGAGGACAAGGAACTTCCACGAGTAAACCTGTTAAGGAGAAGAAACAAAAAGGGACAGACAAATGGGCAGGAAGCCAGGCAAGTCAATAGCTTGAAGGGGGGTGAACTATGAATGTGTAGCTGATGCTATAATGATAACTCAGGTGCAGTGGGAAGCAGGCAAGCTGGCTAAAAATAGTTTTTATGACAAGGCTTCCCTGCATTTGGTTCCGCACAGGTATTTGTCATTAGGAAATACCTGTTGCCTCTCACTGCAGAAAGCTGCTCACAAGGCAGTGGCTCTCTAAACCCTATTCGCTGTCGCCTTCCATTCCCAACTCGAGAGGAGATGCAGTCTCTGAGCACACCCCCATGTGAAGCAGCCAGAGAAGCTGGACTCAGCCTCATTCCTTACTCATTCCTCCAGTGCGGGGAAAGGGTGGGCAGAATGTGGGTGGGCAGGCGAGGAGAGGAAATAGAGCATGTGGATATAGAGGAAATAGAGCAAATAGAGCGTCATTATTCGTTCACTTGCACAGCCTAACCTCACCTCCCAACCCCCAACCCCCAACACACACACACACACACACACACACACACACACACTGTAAAGCATTCCTTCTTTCTATTTGCCAAACAAATGGGACAGGATGGTCATTCATCTTCACCCCACCCCAGGTAGAGAGCTGGATGACCATCAGGACAATTGACCCTCCTGTCTGTGAAAAGCTGGCTTAGCAAGGGCAGGACCTTATCTGGGTTGAACACAAAGATTGTTGGGGCTGGAGTAACAGTACTGCATGTAGGAGTCTAAGACGCTTGCCATGCACACAGCCAAACAGGATTTAATCCCCAGCATCCCATATGGTCCCCTGAGCCCCTGACCACCACCAGGAGTGATCCCTGAGAACAGAGCCAGGAGTAAGCCCTGAGCACTGTTGGGTGTGGCCCCAAAACAAACAAGCAAAAGATCTCTTTGCTTTTCCTGGCAACCTGGGTGGTTTCCTGGCTTTTCTCGGGAGAGATCTGAAATTCACACTCCCTCCACCCTTGCAGAACTTCCCAGAAGCCAACCTCACCTCACCCTTCTCCTTGCCCTTTGCCCACTAGTCATCTCTGCAATCTCTGAGGAGTTCGAAGAGGCTGCTCCTCCAAGAAAAGGGAGGCTTAGTGGTTTTGATTCTCACTCACAGTTCCTTGATCAAAACATCAAAAGCTGCCTGAACAGTGAAAAGGTTTTTTGTTTGTTTGTTTTTGGAGGCACACCTGATGATGCTCAGGGGTTACTCCCAGCTCTGCACTCAGGAATCACTCCCAGTGGTGCTTGGAGGACCATATGTGATGATGAGTTCAGTAGATAAGTACCCTACCAACTGAACTATCTCTTCAGCCAAAGGTGAAGAGATTTGATAGCTGAAAACATCACTATCACCAGCATCATCAGAATCAGTGTCCAAATTTATTGGCTTATTACCACCCTTCTTTCAGAAAAAAAAGAACACTCAACACCTCCTTAAGGTGTGCTTAAAGCTATCTTTTTTAAGCAAAGAGAAAGTACCTCCTATTACATCCAAGCCTACTACCAACTCCACCACCCCATCATTCCCACCCGCTTAGGATAAAGTGCAGTCGTTATCAAGAGCTAATGGCCCACAGAGTCTATTCACTGTGCCCTCCCCACCCCCCAATACTCACATTCATGGTTCCATTGATCTCTGCCACCGACTCATCATCTGTAGGAAACTGATAGATCTGGACACCATTGCTGACAAGCTCGCTGGTGATTTTGATTTTGAACTTGGTTAGCTCACTCTTAGAAATGGCATCTGATTTGGCAATGATGGGGATGATATTCACCTAGAGGAGGGAGGAGCAAAGGGGTGATCATGGGGAGCAAATTGCAATGGAGACACAGCATGACTTAAGCCCTTGCCCAGAGTGAGTGGCTACACCTGGTGGGTTAAGGAAGCTAGGGATGTGGCTCCGTTTCAGAAATGTTCCTCGGCAAGTATTAGATACTGGGTTTGACCCCCAGCACCACCCAACAACAAATGAACAACAAACCTATGCCTAAGGCTGGCCACCTCTGTAGTGAAAGGATAATGCCAAAAACAACGAGTGCTTAGGATTCTGTGCTGGGCACTGAGCTATGTGCTTCCCAGGGATCAGCAAAATAAATCCTAATAAAACTCCTCCTAGAGCTATTATTATTGCTTTATTCCCAATGGGAAATAGAGGCATGGAAAGGACTCAGGGCCCTCAGATCAGGCAGCTAGCAGAACTGGAATCCAAATCCAATTTTAGCCTTATTTTTTTTGTTTTTGGGTCACAACCAGTGATGCACAAGGGTTACTCCTGGCTGATGCACTCAGGAATTACCCCTGGCGGTCCTTGGGGGACCATATGGGATGCTGGGACTCGAACCCGGGTTGGCCCTGTGCAAGGCAAATGCCCTACCCACTATGCTATCACTCCAGCCCCCTAGCCTTATTCTTAAATCCATAACTTTAACCATAAACTACCACCCAACTCAGATACAAATTGATATGCTGTGTGATATTTTGTTTGCTTGCTTGTTTCCTTTTTAGGGGAGCACACCCAATGTTGCTCAGAGTCAACTCCCATCTCAGAACTTAGGGGTTGTTCCTGTGGTGCTCTGGGAAATAAATATGTAGAGCTGGTGCTTGAATCCAGATCTCCTGCATGTAAAACGTGGCCTTTTGGGCCCTCTCCCTGATCTAGCTGATGACTTAGTACCAAGACCACTGCCTAAATGGTTCCAAGCAGTTAGATGGCACTTGAGAATTGATGGCTGACAAAACAAGACTTGGTCTCTCCCCTCCAATGTAGAGAGGGTCAGAGAGAGACAGAGACCTACATAAACTGTGGTGGGGAAGTGAGGCAGGGTGCAATGAAGGTACACACACCAGGCCCTCTTTTAAGAAACAAACAATGAGGAGGTGTTAGTGAACAAGACTCCCTTCAGTTGCTGATCTGATTTGAAATTTCTGCAAAAAGTTCTCACTGACTTATTTCTGTGGACAGAAAATAAATTCAGAGCCAAAAAGATAGCAGAGGGCAGTTGGCACTTTTGTGTACGGCTAAGCCTGGCTCGATCCTCAGCAGCACACAGGGTCCCCTGAGCACTGCCAAGAGTGATCCCCGAGTACAGAATAAGCATGTAAACCCTGGGCACCACAGGGTGTGTCTCAAAAACCCAGGAAAAATAAGTGAGTACTGGGCTAGAGAGATAGTACAGTGGGTCGGGCAGCTGCCTTGCACACGACCAACCCAGATTCAAACTAAGCAACCCACATGGCCCACAGAGCACTTCCAGGAGTAACCCCAAGCATCACTGGCTGTGGCCCAAAAAGCAATTAAAAAGCAGGAACAGGGGCTGGAGTGATAGCATAGCGGGTAGGGCATATGCCTTGCATGCGGCTGACCTGGGTTCGATTCTCAGCATCCCATATGGTCCCCCGAGCACCGCCAGGAGTAACTCCTGAGTACAGAGCAGAAGTAACCCCTGTGCAACACTGGGTGTGACCAAAAAAAGCAAAAAAAAGCAGGTACAGGGCCAGAGTGATAGTACAGCAGGTAATGTGCTTGTCTTGCATCTAGCAGACCCAAGTTCATCCCCATTATCTGATATGGTCCCTGAGTCCGCCAAGAATAATTCATAGTACAAAACCAGGAGTAACCCCTTAACATCGCTGGTGTGGACCCAAAACCAAAATAAACAAATAGATAGGTACAATACCCAATTTCAGACAGCAAGAGGAACTAAAATTTTCCCAGTGTTCAATCCACTTGAACCCTTCTCCTGGAAATTACTACAAGAACAGTAAAGGTGTTTACAACCAGAATATAAACTTTAAATGCAGGCCACAGAGATATCAGAAGGGTTAAGGTGCTTGCCTTGCATGCAGCCAATCCTACTTGTATGCCTGAGCAATGTGATCCCCTGAGCATCACCAGGTGAAACCTGGAGGCCTCAGAGTCCACTGCTGGAGAAACAAGCAGCACCACATCCTTGGGCCCTTGCGTTGAACCACAGGCCCAATTGGCTGATCCTCCAAAATACCACTTGGGAGGCACCCTTCATGCACCCCCCCCTCTCAAAAAAGAAGAAAACTAAAATGCACCTGTCTGGGTGAGATGGTGCATATCTGAATTCACCATGAAGGCATAATTCTCTCTCCCAGCAAACTCAGAGCATGCAGTGTGGATGGCACTCAGTCAGTCAGAGCTCTGAGAAGCCGAGGGCAGGCCTGGGAGCTATTTCCTTTGCACTTATTGTTTCAAGCACCTGGAAATCACACTGGACTTTGATGCTAGGTCAACGAAATATTGAACTTTAGAGGCACCACTCTTGATGTCTGGAGGTGAGGGGATATACCATTCAAAGTCATTTTGCTTTTTTGGCCACATCTGGCGGTACTCAGGGCCTACTCCTGGCTCTACACTCAGGAATTACTCCTACTGGTACTCAGGGAGTACAAGGGATGCTGGGGATGGAACCCAGTTCTACCACATGCAAGACAAGAGTTCTACCTGCTGTACTATAGATCTGATCCCTCTAAGTCATTTTTAAGAGGATCAGAGGCAGAGCAGTTCTCCTAGCTTATCACCACATCGCTGTCAGTACACTATGACCACTCACCAATATGCACTATTACTAAACACTTAAACCCATCTACCCACTGGAACACCAGGAGCACTGGGGAGGTGGGGCAGGATGGCCCTCCCTGCTAGAAAAAGTGAACAACTGCTCCAATCTCTATTATGGGTAAAAGTTTATTTGGGCACAGGGGGAGGGAGAGGCATGGGCTATAGTGATAGTTCAGCAGGTACTGGAAGCTTTGTATGCAACCAACCCAGATTCAATCTCCAGCATTCCATATGGAACACCATCAGGAATAATTCCCAAGCCAGAAGTAAGCCCTGCGCATTGCTGGATGTGGTTCAAAAACGACAACAACAAAAAACCTAGGCCTCTCCAGTTAAAAGAAAGAAACCATTTTTCCATTGCCTCTCCATTGCCAAAACTGGAGTGTCTAGATCCAAGCCACCATCTTGCTTGGTTGTGCCCTTATTCCCAAGAGGGATCAGGGCAGCAAGAACAGGCCATACTCATGATGGGCAACCACATTGCCATGTCTATGCTGCAGGTGAGGGCTCAACAATCCATCTCTGTGAAGGGATGGGGGATGAAAGAGAGGAGAAGACCACCAAACAGTGCTTGGAGTCTGCCATCTGCTTGGCTCCAGAAAACAGGAAGCATGAGTCCAGCTAACCCAGCCTCCTGCCCACCCTCAGCCCTGCCTCCGTACTTTACTGTCCAGCTTCTTCATGGTCACCAGGTCCAGCGACTTCAGGGAGTGGCCAGTGGGGGCAATGAAGTACAAGCAGGCGTGGATGCGGGAGTCATGGTAGGAATGCAGAACCCTACGGATCTTCAGCTCCTCTTGCAGGTAAGCCTCGAATTGGGCGTCGATGAATTCCACAATGGGCTTGTAGCTAAAGGGGAAAGGAAGGAAGAAGGATGGAACAATTGAAAGCTACAATTTTCAGACACCCCTTTTTATTTTGGGGGGGCGTCTCATAATCTGACAATGCTCAGGGGTTACTCCTGTCTCTACACTCAGGAATCACTCCTGGCGGTGCTTGGGAGACCATATGGGATGCCACATATTGAACCCAGGTTGGCCATGTGCAAAACAAACACCTTACCCACTGTACTATCTCTCCCACACCAGACAGTCCCTTTTAAGATGCCCCAACTCAAATCTGACTCCTCTTCCTCTCCACCTGTATTCTTCCATCTAATCCTCATCAAGGGGGGCCATATTCTAGTTCCCCACAAGAGCCCAACGTGCCTTTTGGTGCCCCTTAGGGTTGGAAAGTTGATTTCTCTCTCTCACCCTAGGCTTGTACTCCCTGGATGTCAGGGATCCAATTGATGAATCACTTCAGCAAGCCATTGGAAATTTACCCCAAGGTCTGATCTTCTATGCTTCTTCCAGGAGCATAAAAAAATTATGCTGAGGCTGGAGAGATAGTACAGTGGGTAGAGTGCTTGCATTGCATGCAGCAGATTCAGGTTTAACTCCTGGCATCCTACAGGATCAGCTGAGCCCTACCAGGACTGACTTCTGAGCACTGTCAGGTATGATCCAAAAACAGGCAAGAAAAATCATGATGCTGGGGGGTGTGACTAGCACAATAGTACAGCAGGAAGGCCTGAGCACTGCTGGGTGTGGCCTTAGTATTTAAAAAAAATCATGATACTAAGCCAGGAGATGGCTCAAAGGGCTGGATGCACAGCACCGCATAGTCCCATACTCACCCTGACCACAGGGCTGGAAGTAGTCCCTAAGCACTGGCGGTATAGCCCCAGAACAAACAGACAAGTAATAATCACTGTCACTTAGCACAGCGGTAGGGTGTTTGCCTTGCGTGTGGCTGGCCCGGCTGAGCAAGTAATAATAATATTGATAATATTTTTGGGCCAGAGAGATAGCCCAGTGGGTAGAGCGCTCAGTTTGCATGCAGTCAACCCAGATTTTATCCTCTGCATCCCAGAAGTGATTCCTGAGAGCAGAGCCAAGAGTAATTCTTGAGCATTGCCCGGTTTGATCAACCTCTCCCCTCCCCAAAATATGATCTCTCTCATATGTGGGAAATAAAGAAACATAGTAGGGGGATAATAAATACCCAAAGGCAAAAGAAACCGAGAATTGGGTTTCAGTATGAAGCAGACCACAAGGGAAGGAAGGGGAAATAGGATGAGAAGGGGGACACTGAGATAATGGTGGACGGAAGTAGACACTCCGGGGGAAGGTGTGGTGATGAAACGTGTTATGCATGAATCTCTATTAGTTATAGTTCTACAGGGCTGGAGTGATAGCACAGCGGTAGGGCGTTCGCCTTACAAGCGGCCAACATGGCCGACCCAAGTTCGATTCCTGCGCCCCTCTCGGAGAGCCCGGCAAGCTACCGAGAGTATTCGATATGCCAGACACAGTAACAACAAAGTCTCCAATGGAGACGTTACTGGTTACTGGGCACGCTCGAGCAAATCGACGATCAACGGGAGGGCCTTTACCTTTACCTTTACCTATAGTTCTACAAATCACAGTGCCTCAAATCAAATTTAAATAATAATGATGCAAAGGCAGGGGGCAGATGCTTGTTTCATGTTTGGCATGGATGCATCTTTGGCAAGGATGTAATCCTTGAGCCATCCCCAGCAATACACACACACACACACACACACACACACACACACACACACTCCACAAGCAAAAGCTGGTTATATGCAAAGTTTTTCTTCATAGCCTTCACATCTTGCTAGGCCTTTCAAGGAAAAGAGTATTTTGTTTTGGGTGCTCTGGGAGCATGCAGTACACAAGATGGAAGCCAGGCCTCCAGGATGGGTTCAGCTCACTGAGCTATCTTTCTTGTTTGACTTTGTTTTTGGTTTTGGTTTTATGGGAGCCATACCGGCAGTACTCAGGACTTCTTGCTGGCTCTGCACTCAGGGCTTACTCCTGCCTTAGTGCTCAGCAGACAGTATGGGGTGCTAGGGATCAAACCCCGGTCAGCTGTGTGCAAGGAAAACACCCTACCCACTGTACTATCAGTCCAGCTTCTTGACAGGCCTTCTTGAATAACAGCCACTCTCCTCTGCTCTTTTTTTGTGCTCAAAATCTCTTTCCTCACAGACTCTTTCTGCATCCTCTCTCTGCTTAACTAGGTCAGCTGAGCTTCAACCCTGCCTCTGTTCTCTCCCTGTCTGTCCATCCCGTGCTTCCTCCCAGTAGGTGGAAGAGATCCATGATCTGACCCCACAAGAGAGCCTGCAGAGCATTGCCATAAAAGAAGATCATCAAAGGAGGAACACTTCCCAGCCTGAGCCTTTTGGAAAGATGCATCTCATAGATAAAGGGAAAAAAGCTTTGAAAAGAATCACAGAAGTCTAGATTCTGAGCACTGGCAGTTCTAGGTACCAGGTAGCTCTGCCGCTGCAAAACAAAACAAAACAAAACAAAAACCCACATTTATACTAATAGAACCTTTTTGGTCTTCTTTTCATGCCTCTGAAACAAAGACTGAAAAGACTGTTCTTTTTTATTTATTTTCTGGTGTTTGCGGGGACGCACTGGCAATGCTCAGGTCTGAATCCTGACTATGAGTTCAGATCAGTTCTGGCAGGCTTGGGGGACCATATGGGGTGCTAGGAATCAAACCTGGGTTGGCCACATGTAAGGCAAGTGCCTTATCTTCTCTACCATTGCTCCAGCCCCAAGGCAAAGACTGTTTTGAGAGTTAAGAGCATCAAAGAATCTCTTTGTTGCAAAGAGCCTTAAAACGTTGGCAAAGAGCCTTAAAACGTTGGCAAAGACAGGTGGAGAGATAATACAGTGGCTAGGGCACTTGCCTTGCATGTTCCAGACCTGGGTTAGATCCCCCTGTATCCCATGAAGTCCCCCATGTAACGCCAGTAATAATTACTGAACACAGAGCCAGGAGTAACCCGTGAGCATTGCTGGGTTGAACCCATAAAGTTTTTTTGAAAGTTCTTAAAGAATGAAGAGGGGAAATGGAGCACATTCCTTCAGCTTAGCCCACTGATTTTCTGGTGACTTGTTTGATGACTTGAATGATCTGATCCTGACACTGCTTTCTTTTCTTTTCACCGTTATGTAACATTAATTTTTTTCCTGGCTCTCTTAAAGGCATCAGAGGAGAAAAAAAGATCACTTAATTTGGAGGTTTGTCCTTGCCTCTGAACCTATCCTTTTTGTAGCTGTCTCTGGCTCTGTAGAGATGCATTAGACCTGCCAAACTGCCAATTGACCAAGAGAACTGATATTGATTTATCTTCAAGGTGTACTTCATTGTTGTTTCATTTCTTTGTGGGGGCAGGGTTAAGCCACAACCAGATGTGGTCAGGGATTACTCCTGGCTCTGTGCTCAGGGAGCACTTCTTGTGGGGTTCTGGCAACCTCTGCAGTGCTGGGGATTAAACCAGAGTTTTTTGTTTCTGTTTTTGTTTTTCAGTCACATTGGGTAGTGCTCAGGGTTTTCTCCTAGCTCAGCACTCAGGAATCACTCCTGGCCATGCTTGTGGGACCATATGGGATGACGGGTTTGAACCTGGTTTGGCTGCGTGCAAAGCAAATGCCCTACCCACTGTACTAACTCCCTGGTCCCTCGAACCACAGTTGGATTCATGCACGTGCCTTAACCCCTATACTATCTTACTGGCTCCATTTTTTTGCTGGGGAACAGGGCGAAGCACTGGTGGTGCTTGGGAACTACTCCTTGCTCTGTACTTAGGGATCACTCCTGCTGTTACTCAGTTAACCATGGGTCGAACAGAATCGAACCCAATTCTCCTGCTTGCCAAGAATAATCTATCTCTCAGGTCCATTCATTGAGGTTTCCATCCTTTTCCAGCCTCTGTGTCCTGCATGTATCTGGAATATAGTAAAGGTTCCACACACAGGTCTGTGCAGCACTCCTCACCCCATTCCCAATGACTGTCTTCCCATGGTGTACCCCCCTCACCATCCACTCTGCTGTGTTTATCAGATTCCCGTCAGTGGTCCAAAAATCCTTTAGGCAAAATCCTCTTAAAATGTGTCATTTCCAGGCTCAAGTGATAGTAAAGTCGGTAGGGCACATTCCGTGCTTGTGATGGACTGGAGTTCAATCCCTGCTATAGGATTCTCGAGAACTGCCAGGAGTGATCCCTGAATGCAGAGCTAGAAGTAAGCCTTGAGCTATGAACCACCTCTACCATCATGTAAGCTCATCTTTATCAGCCAAGAGATCAACTAGCTGCAAAAACTTCCCAGACACCCCTAAATGGCTGAGACACCTGAGGCATACTTGGAGGAGTGCGGGCCAGTGTCTGCCCAAACAAAACCCTGGGGTTTCCACACCCCAAAACTCCCACCATGCCCCAGGATAGATTCCACTGCTTAGGACTACTGAGTATCATAGTGAACTTAACTGTGCAGAAACCTCAGGTACATGGGTTCCTGTGGCTGAAAACTCCTTTGAGATGGGCTACCTCCCCACACAATCTTGTACTTCTGGAAGCCCTGGAAATCATGACCATGAACCACCTTTGCCATATGTAAACTTAGCCATCAAAAAATTTAACTCCAGCTGGACTGACCAGTTAAAAACTCTGGAATTTCTGGAGTATGCAGTTGCATTCACGGCTGCACGAAATCTCCAAAAGCTTCAAAACTGACAATCCAGTAGTAGCACACCAAATTGGACGAGGTATGATGTAGAAGCCAACCAATCTCGACAACAAAAACATTAAAACAGGAATTTAATTTGGTAGCAACAACTTAGTAATCCCTCAGACAAGGACTTAATATCTGCATGACGAGATACAATTTTCACTGATTTTCTTCTAAGGAAATATTTTTGACCATTCTTTTAGTTGTTTATGGGCAGCACTGTAGCACTGTCCTCCCGTTTTTCATCAATTTGCT